GCGTCATGGCCATCCCCCCTGGGGGGTGATTTCTCATTTTCTGTCTCTCTGTCTCTCTCTGTCTGTCTGGCGAGCGCACGTGCCCTATAGCAAAATCCTCTCCAAAAAAAAAAAGTTAAAAAAAAACCTCTCCAAAAGAAAAAAAGGATATGATATCTTTCTCTCCCTTTTTTTTTTAGTGTTTTTTTTTCCCTTAGGGCATTTGCGCTTGCCATAGAGAGAGACAGAGACAGAGACGATTAGCAGGAAAGTGAGAAATCACCCCCCAGGGGGGATGGCCATGTTGCAATCCCTTCTCCTCCATTCTCCTCCTGGGATCTTGGGCACACACACACACATGCGCCCAGAGTGAGTTTCAAACCGCCAGGTCCGGGACTCGAACCACAGTCAGTCAAGTGGGAGTCCAGGGCCTTAATCGTCATGTCATCTGATGGCCCCGTTATAGCAAAATTTTAAACGGATATTAATTTGGGACCAGCAGATGGTGTCATGGTTACATTGCCAAACTCCCACATAGTTGACGGTGGTTCGAATCCTGAACCTGGTGGCTTAAAAATTCATGGGGCAGGGACCAGCAGGTGGCGAGGTGGTTAAGGCACTGGACACTCCCACATAGACAATCACAGTTCGAACCCTGGACCTGGTGACTTGCTTTCTCACTTTCCCTCTCTCTCTCCTCTCTCTGTGTATTTGATCACATTAAAATAAATAAATGAATAAATAAAATTAAATTTGAAAAATAACATAAAACTACTCATGAGGCTTGGGGCCGGCAGGTGGCATGATGGTTAAAGGCACTGGAGTCCTCCATGGCCGAATGTGGTTTGAATCCCGGACCTGGCGACTTGTTTTCTCACTTTCCCTTTGTCTCTCTCTCTCTCTTTCTCTGTCTCTCTCTGGTCAAATTAAAAAAATACTAACAACATGGGACCAGCAGGTGGCATGGTGGTTAAGGCGCTGGACACTTCCACATGGCTGACCATGGTTCAAGTCCTGGACCTGGTGGCTTGCTTTCTCAATTTCCCTCTCTCGATCTCTCTCTCTGTGTATGTCTTTCTCTGGTCAAATTCAATTAATGAATAAATAAAATTAACTTTAAAAATAATTCTTTATAAAAATAATAACAAATAGAATTAAATAAAAAAAAACACATGGGGCTGGATCTGCAGGCCGTGTTTACGTGGCTTGAGGAAGACAGTACAGCCGCCTCATGGGAAAGAGAGGAAGCTTTCAAAAAATTATTGTGTAATCTTTTTTTTTTTTTTTTTTTGAGAGATTTTTGCTATAGGGTGTGTGCGCTCGCCAGACAGACAGAGAGACAGAGAGACAGAAAGCGAGAAATCACCCCCCCAGGGGGGATGACCACGCCGCAATCCCTTCTCCTCCATTCTCCTCTCGGGATCTTGGGCACGCACGCACACGTGCCCGGCGCGAGTTTTAAGCCACCGGGTCCGGGACGTGAACCGCGGTCAACTACGTGGGAGTCCAGCGACATAGCCATTATGCTAACTGCTGGTCCCACTATTGCCTTTTAATTTGACCAGAGAGAAACAAAAAGAGAGAGAGGGAGGGAAAGTGACAAAGCAAGCTGCCAGGCCCGAGACGTGAACCGCGATAGGCCATGTGGGAGTCCAGTGTTCTTAACCACCACACCACCTGTTGGCCCCCAAATTAAATATAATGCTTTTTTTTTTTTTTTTAAGAGTGAGAGAGAGGAAGTGAGAAAGCAAGCCACCAGATTCAGGACTTGAACCCTGGTCAGTCATGTAGGAATGTCCAGGACCTTAACCCACCACCCCACCTGCTGGTCCCCAATCTAACTACTTTTTTCTTTCTTTCTTTCTTTCTTTCTTTCTTTCTTTCTTTCTTTCTTTCTTTCTTTCTTTCTTTCTTTGTTTTTTGAGAGGTTAATGCTATAGGGCGCGTGCGCTCGCCAGACAGGCAGAGAGAGACATAGAGACAGAAAGCGAGAAATCACCCCCCAGGGGGGATGGTCACGCCGCAATCCCTCCTCCTCCATTCTCTTCT